CGGGGTCGCAGCCGCGGCGCGGTTCTTGGCGCTCCTCGCCACAGGGACTGCGGCCCCCGCTCTCCTCAGCGCCTCCTCGCGGCGACGCAGCCGAGAGGCGCCCTCCGCCGGGGCTGCTACCGGCGACACCCGGGGCATCCTCATGCGCCCATCGCCCACGGGCCGTATTTGGCCCCTTAGGATTAATCGCTTTATCACGAGTTCTTCTCCCCCAGCTTAAAAAGAAGACTTTTAAATACAGCCCCACTTGGCCCAGTATCAGGGAAAATCTCCCGTTTTGCATGGGGAGCCCAGCATTGCCTTCTGCCTGGGCTTGTAGCTCAAAGAATGTTAAAAATTCACCCCTGCTAAGCTTCCTTTTCAGTCTTTTTTTATCAACAGTTCTGTTCTTTTGGGTTTCAACTAACTCATCAAGTTTAAGAGGGGAATGGAAAGTGCAATGATGTACAAACGGGTTAGACATGACCCTTGTCCCTTGGTTTTCAACCATCCAAAGTCAGATGTCTCCATGAGGCGATGCCTTAAAGGACGGCCCTCTTCCAGAGCCCTAGATCCTGCGAATCACACACAGGGTGACCGGGATGCATCATTGCAGCGTGATGCAAAAGTCCCCCTCATGCAGGAAGCTCCCAGGGTCAGTCTGGTGGATTGCACAGTGCAGTACAGGGGGCTGCCCTTCCTTTACTGGGGCTTTTCAGGGGTATTTGGACAACAACTTAAAGCAGATGTAAACACATGGAAGGAATCTTGTACAACAGTTAGTGACCCCTAATAATGGCCACTCAGCAAATGTTGTAATGTTGATGGAGAAAACTGCAGCTTAAAAAATTGAGCAAATACAGCCATAACGCAGCACAAGGAGGGAGTCTGTCCTTCCAGAACCCTGCGTAAAGAAAGCCTGAGCTGCTGACCTAGGGAATTCAGTGTCCTTCTTCCTGCCTGACGAGCTCCAAAGCTGCAGGCTTGGGCAGCAAGCCAGGCCAAATAGCTTTCATGTGTGAACTCAAATGCAGACCAGATGATACACGTTTTACTACAGGCATTTATTTCTCATTACTATTTTCTCAATAAAACCCAGTTGTTTATAACACTACAAATTAATACCCAACTGGTACAAGATGCAATATGTACTTTCTAAGAGCTCATTTGAAATGTGTTAAACTGTCCCAGGAAGGGTTTTGCAGCAGGAGGGTCCTCTGCTTTCTTAAACCCTCTTTGGCATCACATTTTTGAGTATGCTTACATAATACATCCTGCCATTTTTCTCTGATTCTCTTTAATGAAGAGCTTTGTATTAAATGCAGTAGCAAACAGTGACCTGCAGTTCTAAGCTGCACCTTCCTCAAAACAACTGTTTCTGTTGAACACAGAGGTGTGTTGCTAGGCCGTATGAGCTGCCGAGAAATCGCTTTCCCACCGATAGCAATAGAAACTGAGAACTGCAAGCACTAGACTTACTCTGAATTTATCCCCCTCCTCAAAAAAAAAAAAAAAAAGGTTTTCTTCTATCTAGGTACATCAGTCACTTAAAAACACAGGGACAGATTCCCAGCTGTAATCCGGCTTCCTTATGTAACTCAGACAGAAAAGGCCACCTGGAGATCCCTTTGGCATAGCAGAAAAACTCCACATGGTTTAGCACTAAACCAGCTGAATTCCTGTGCCCTGCCTCCCTGCCAAGCGGTTCCCAGCGGGTTGAGGAGCCTGGTGAATTTGCGAACGGCGGCGGTGAGGACACGGCGTGGCAGTTTCACCCAGCAGCTCTCGCAGGGCTGCGCTCGCCTCCTGTGTCCGCACAGGCCACCTCTGATCTGCACGATCCAGGATTCTTTTAGGCTTCTTGGTCTTTGAGTGAGACAAACTCTGGAGGCTCAGGAACATGAGACTTGGAAAGAAAACACGGGTGCATCCTCCTAGTTATCTTTTATAGGGTTAACTTTAATATTGTTCTGCACTGCTGGTCCCCACTCTCAAAGGTGTAAAGTCCTAATTCTGCTAATGCACTGCACTCTGGTGTCTGCCGAGTCTGGAAACACTGGATACTTTCAGATTATGAGGCTACATTAACAGAGCCTGAAGTATGACTCCTTAAAAATAGAACTACAGCTACTCTTTTGCTTTGGTTTATTTTGAACTTATTAAATGTTTCATTAATCTTTGAGACTGTAAGTTATCTAAGGACTTAAAAAGGAACAACTAATTTCTAGATCTAAAAAAAAAAAAAGTCTAACAAAACATTTAACAGGCAGAAGGTAAAACTGTCAAAAAAGAACATGATTTATATCTGTGCCAAATGAGGACCTCAAAAATGAAGGCAGCAGTTGTAATGCTTTTTATATTCACATCCAGGTATATCTGTATACATAAATATAGAGGAAGCTGATGTTAATGGAAGATGCAAAGAATAAAGTGATAATATTCATTTGATGACAACCAATGTTTCTGCCCTCAGTATGTAAAAGATTGCTTTATACTAATTATTTCTGATTTTTAAAATAAGACAAATAAGGCGAGCAATAGATCTAGACAGAAATACAGCTCTAATTTCTCCCTTTTTGGAGCATTTTTGGTTTTTTGAGAACTAAGAGGCGAACTTTTATTTCCATTTGGCTTGACACCTTCGTACAGTAGATGGCAGTAAGAAGCTTTATTTATTTAACCAGTTCTCAGCAAAAGAGAGGGTTTCACTGCAGCGCGATCTCTCCTGGGAGCCTCAGTCCTTCGGAACAGACGCCTTCCCCAGATACACTACGTGTTTGCTCTTGATGAGCACGGCAGGTCCCCGGGGTTGTTATTTGCTCATCAAGGTAACACCTGCACGATTACAGTGCCCTGACAGTAACAGCACTAGCCTCCCCAGCGCACACCGATAAAGTTCTGTGCTAGATCCAGCCAAAAAGCAACCACCCTTCCCAAAAGGTGTGCAAAAGGGGGTGTACTTACAGTTTTACTTTAAGATAGAGGTCTTCGCTGACTTTTTTTTTTTTTTTTTAAAAACACAAATCGGGTGATTAAATTGTCCGCTCAACAGCCTAGCCCAGAAAGGGTTTTCAGGAAGAGAACTCAAAACATTTAAGATGTCTGGATGAGGACACTAAGTAGCATTAAAATGTTAGGCGACTCTGACACCTAAGAGTGTCTTTAGACACTGAAATCAATATGCTTCTAATCAGCTCTGTTTGAACCATAATTCAGAAGTCAGACACCTGATTTTTATAAATCTTAAATCTTCTTGAGTTTAGTTAAACATTAAATGCTTTTTCTACACCACACAAGAGCACTAATCCTGCAGCAATCGGTTCAGTGACACGGTTGTGCTGTGAACGTGTCCCAGCCCCGAGGTGGCCCTTTCTTTACACGTACTGTAAAAGGGATGTGACTCCTCCATTTATTTATTTGCCTGTGCCTGGGAGGTGTCACCTCGGAGTTGTTTACTTTCGATATAATAGAAAACGAGAGAGTTTTATTGTGCCACATGGTTACTTCCTTTTCTTTATGACTTGCATCCAGCCTGACACAGTTCCTAGAAACAACAGGATGGGAGTTTAGAAAGTGTATGGCGTGTCAGGAGAAGGAATGCTGAAAAGACCACGCTCCGGTTACAGACCAGCCAAAGGGCACACACGTTTCTTTTTCTTCTTTGCAGAAACATTAGTTTTAAATACCATTTTCCCAGTGGTGATTTCTCATACTTTTAACTTGGGGGCTACTTTAAACCGTCTGGGACTCAGAGAAAAAATAACTGTCACTGGCTAAACGAAGGAGCATTTGGGAAATACATCAGTGTAAAGAAAAAAAATACAAAATTATTTCCTTTTTTTTTTTTTCCCCTGAACTTTTTCTTCAAACAACCCCTTATGATAGAAAATTGAGCCCAGAGGACTAAACAGTTTGGTCCCTGAGGATGGCTTTATATTTATCATTAGAGTCAGTGAATACGTCTGACCTTTTTACGCTCTCCAGCTTTACTCCCTGCTCAGTGGGAAGGGGTGCAGCATATCACAGCAAACAGTGTCTTGTGTAGCCACATAAAGGCATAGGCAGCAGGCAGCATCAGCACCTTTGGTGTTTCCAAGTGTATCTTTTGACTTAAAAGGCATTTAGAAAGAAATGAAGCAAGGCAGGTGCAAAATACCTAAAGGATTAAGCATATTGATCAGAAAGTATCAAATAGTCAAAGATACAATTACAGAGCGCACACACTTACGGCTCCCGTCAAGCTTTTCAGCTTTCCCTAGGAGGAGTTCCTTACAATTAGGTGATTAAACACCCCTCTCCACCCCTTTCTCCAAAATACAGAGCTCAACAAAGTGACCAAGCCTCAGACAGCTATAGCCCAAGAAACGTGACAGGGAGGACTCTTAACGCCTGCTGCTGACCTACTTGGGAGACAAGCTGGCCAGATGGCTGCATTCTGCAGTCCTGAAGTGCCAGGTTCTGGTGCCATCCCCACACTGCGTGCCTACACGTAACAATATTTGAAGCACCAGCGTGGCTTCTTACTGATGAATATTGTCAGGAGCAAGTGTTTCTCAGCATCTCTTTGCAACAAACACTCATCCAGCTATAGGTGCAACCTGGTTGCTATCCCATTTTCCACACGTGCATGGCTGTGACTACCTTTTCTACTGCAGTTTCACCTACCTATGCTCAATTACACCCTCATTTTGCCCTGTAGACATGACCTGTGTCGCTAGGAATGCTTTATTTTTGAGAACTGAACACAGATAACTTGAGAAACTGCACATACTAGTCAAAAACAGGAAAAGGGCTCTTATCAAATTAGTAACATCTCAGATATTTGGGTGTGGACATTTGGCACTGGGTTTGCATATTCTTATGGGAGTGAGTCTGTGCATACTCCAGACTCCATTCCTTTGCTTCACATTATTGCTCCCAAGTTGAGGCATGTTTCAGAAGGGCCTCTCTGTACATGTGTAAGTGCACAATTACGATGTGCTATGCAGATCAGTAAGAAGAGACTTTGCTGCCTTTCCTACATGTAAAATAGCAGTAGATCAGGTTAATGGCACTTACACAGAACTGTGTTGCAGTTAAGATCACTGCAAAAACTAAAGCAGCTATTTCCTTCACACCTGTACGTACAGAGCTATGGGAAGGAGCTGAGAAAAGTTTGATACCGT